CTTTTCTTGTGCCCATCAAGTGTTTTTAGAAAGTGAGCAGGGCCAGAGGGGGGGGGGTGCCCAGCAAGGTTTCTTATTGACTGTTGTAGGTCTGGTTAGCTGTGTAGAGTAAAAGGCACCCTGTTAAATAGAGTTTGTGCCTGAAATGCTGAAAAGTAACAAGAGCTATGCATAACCTTGCACCCTCACATTTGTGGCAGCCATTTTGGGGTTATTGTGCCCACCACCCTGTGGCAGAATTTCAAAGGTGCCCAAAGGCTCAAAGAGATTGGGGACCCCTGGATAAAAGTGGCTGATTAGGATCCAGGAGACCCAGATTCTAAACCCCACTCATGCCATGGAAGCTTGCTGGATGACCTTGGGTCAATCACACACACTCAGCCTAAGCTACCTCGCAGGGTTGTTGAGAGGATAAAATAGAGGAAAGGATGATATAAGCCATTGCGGGACCTCACTCGGGTGAAAGGTGAAATATGAATGAAGTAAATAAATAGTGTAAAACTGGAGTTTAAAAGCATCCTAGAAACAGCCCAAGAGCAGTACAAGAAAGGAAAAGCTTACTTATATGGCAAAAGCCCAGGTGAACTTTAAAAGCATGGGATGCAAGCGTTCCCTCATAAAAGTATTATGTTTTGTTTACATTGCTCACATATCCAGGTTGCATACAAATACATTGCAGAATGTTTTATATGATACTGTAAGCCTAAATATACTGTCCCAACATCTACATTTGACCCTGATTAGTCTTAGATGGTTTCTCATATTAAAAAAACCCATAGCTTTAAAACCGAGAAAGTGGGCCCCTGTTGAAAATTCTAGCAAAGTGCTTGCAGATATCCATGATCTTTAGGATGTGGTGTTTGTTTCCAGAAGGGCTGAGCTATATAAATTCTTTTTATAGGGTTGCCTTATGTAAGAAGAGCTCAGCTGATTGGCACAATAGTCCATTTTGTCCAGCATCCTGATTTTGACAGTGGCCAGCCAAATTCCCCACAAGCAGAGCACAAATACAATAGCCATCCCCTCCAGCAACTCAAATTCATCAACATACTGACATTAAACCTGTAGATGTCTTTTAGCTGTTATGGATATCATATATGATTCTGTGATATATGATCTGCTGATGATAGACTATTCTCCTTATTAGTCAAATCCCCCTTTACAATGCTATTTAAGCTAGTGGCCCATTTTAAGAACATAAGCACTGAACACTAATGTGCCTTACGAATGATAGTTTCTTGGTACTTGAATTTCTTGCACTGAGGTCCTAAATACAGTTACACATATCTAAGTGGACTTAGAAGTGTGTAACTCTGCTTAGGACTCGACTGTGACGCTCAGGGCTATTTTTGGGCAGGAACGCACAGGAACGGAGTTCCAGCTGGCTCCTGAGTTGGCCACGCCCAGCAGGAACTCATTAGCATAATAGGCCACACCCAACAGCAGAACTCCATTAGGATTGGCTTCATAAGGGGTGTGTGGCCTAACATGCAAAGGAGTTCCTGCTACAAAAAAAGGCCCTGGGTTTTGACAACAAACAAGGTAAACAGAATAAGAAGCAAAAGGTGGGTGTGGCTGGATGACCACATTTCTGGTAACATGGGGGTGCGTCCTAATGTGCTAATGAGCTGTGCTGGCAGGGGTGTGGCCTAATATGCTAATGAGTTTCTGGTGTTGGGTGTGGCTTATTATGCTAATGAGTTCCTGCTGGGCTTTTTCTACAAAAAGAGCCCTGGATGGTTAATTTTCAAGGCTTTAAAGAATACTAGAGCTCTGATGGCAGAAATCGATTTCAGCTTCATTGTTAGTGCTCGTTATTAATAATGGCCTAGATTCTAACCATGTTATCCACTGGCAGAAGGCAACAGTCAAAGAATGGCAGCTGGTGGGGGAATTTTGCAGACTCCCTAGTCCCATTCTCTCCAGTGCTGTTCTGTGGGGTCCCCTGCCTGCCTGCCATGATTTCAGGAGGCACAGCAGTTTGCAATAGGAGGAGGGTTGTGGGAAATTTCACTTCCTCGAGCACCTCTCTGTTTGTGCTAAACAGTAGCTAAATCAAAATAAATTGGGTTTGACACATGACATTTAAATCTCAGTCCTGTGTCTTTGTAGCTGCTAGCTCTCTAAACTGCAGTGAGATTCCCATCCTAAATGTTTATTTGTGGTACTGCTAATTTCTAGCTTCAGAGTTCAGAAATAATACGTTCTAGAGAAAACGTTGTCCTTTATATTTAACATGGATGGATAATAACATTTATCAAATACTTACAGAGCAACAAAGAAATTCAGCCTGGTGTGTTCATTTATACTGTAGCCAGCCCTCTTGAAATAAACAAAAGTCATTGCTAAAAGATACTGTAGAAAAGGGTAAAGTGTTAAGATCCCTGTTTTCTATTATTTTTCATAAATAATCATGTTTTTAAAAAATCGGTTAATGACAACTAGGCACTTTATTTTTATTAATTGATTTTTGACAGGGAGGTTTAACAGTGAAATCCTAAACTGAGTTACACCCTTCTAAGACTACTAGGCTGGATTCCTTTCTGTGCATGGAATCAGCAAAAATTGGCCATTTTGCACTGATCTTTTTAACAGGATCCAACTTATTCAGAGATTGGATTTATACCCCGCCCTTCCCTACCCAAGGGAGTCTCAGAGTGGTTTACAATCTCCTTTCCCTTTCCCTCCCCACAACAGACACCCTGTGAGGTACGTGGGGCTGAGAGAGCTCTTTCGAGAACTGCCCTTGAGAGAAAAGCTCTGAGAGAACTTATGACTGACCTGTGGTCACACCAGCAGCAGCACGTGGAAGAACGGGGAATCAAACCCAGTTCTCCCAGATTAGAGTTTGTGCTCTTAACCACTACACCAAATTGGCTCTCAGGTGGTGTTTAGGTATGAATGTGTCCTTTCTTCTGCACCCCAAACTCCAATCCAACCAGCAGGACCTAGTGAAGGTTGTCAAAAGCTACAGCAGACCCTCAATGTCCGCCCCACCAGCTGGCTTTCTGAGTGTGGTAACAAAAACAAACAAACCTTGTTCCTGGAATAACAGCCTTTGCTTCCTCAAGTGTATTATTCTATAGTTACACCTAGGATAATTAAATAAGGAAAATAAAAAGGATTCCAATGGCACCTTAAGGACTAACAAGATTTTGTCCGTACTAGGACCCCAGTGCATGCAACTGATAAAGAGGGTTTCAGTCCATGGAAGCTTTTGCTGGAATAAAATCTTGTTGACCTTTGAAGTGCCGCCAATATTAGAATACCAATCTATTGTTCACTAAGCTATATCTAAATCACATTCTTTTGAAGAGGTTCATTCTATTTCAAACAATAGTGGAGGTTTTTTTAAAAAGTGAAGTGGTTGCTCATCCAAATTGTTGTAGCACCACAGGCCAGTACCTGGTTTTGGCTGCCTGTCTGAGACTGCAAAAATGGGGGTGTTAAAAATGGGGAGCATCATTCAGTTTTGATGGGTTACAAATGTAAAGTTCTGAGAAATATAAAGCCTCCCATTCTATTTGTAAAATCTCACTGATTTGCATGCCAACACTCCCATTTTACCTTGTCTGCAATTTTGCAGCAACAGTCCATCCACAAGAAATCTTGAATTAAATCATCATCTGTAAAAAAAAAAAAGTAGTTATGACATACCAGCTGTAAAACAATTATTAAAAAATGTTAGGTTTTTTAAAAACTCCACTTCATAAGTCAAATCAAGGTTTTTTTTACAAAATGAATGGTTTATTGGGTAAAAGATATCCCATGTTTTCTTGAGAGGCTTTTATGGAAAATATGAAGCACACTTAAAAACAAGGGGGGAAAAACTACAAAGATAATATGGAAACCTATATAAGTTGGTTGGGGCATCTCCCTCATTGCCTAGATTTATTGAAGCAAAATGCTTTCTGTTAGTTAAAAAACATAAGGTGCAAGATCAGTTGGCTTCAGATGTTATGACCAAATTAACAGGTCAGATGCACAAGAAACACTGTCTCTTTATACAAAGGATTTTTTTAATATAAGTAAATATCTCATAACTACCAACATGCCGTAGTGAAGAGGGGGTTGTATGATAACCTGGATTTAATCCTCCAGCTACGGCTTGTAGCTAACTGGGTCACCCTGGACAAGTCATCACACTTTTGAGCTGCCTGTCTGAGACTTCAAAAATGAGGGTATTAAATGCCTGTTTCACAGAAAAGCACTCTGGACACTGAAGAGGGCTACTGAAACATTAACGTATCCTCACATATGGGATTGGATCCTATTGATCCATTCCACTAACTGCAATGTGTTTCCCTGGCACAAGGAGGTTCTAGCATCAAGATGAATGCTCCATACGTTGAGAGAAGGCACTGTTGTTGGCAGAACAGATCCATGGAATCCTACCTCCTCACCATGTATTTTACTAAGTGACTACCAATTCACTATATAGAAACCTACCAAATAGTTTAAAGAATGCTGTCATTTCCTGTCGCTGAATAACTAAATATGAACCTTTTGGCTGTTTTGATTTGTTAGTACAGTTCGTATTTTTCCCCGAAGTCTCCTGGCTGTCTTTAAATTTGGGACGTTTAAGGCTGAAGGCTTTTTTTGGCTGATGTGATCTGGATACACTTGTCTGCATGTGAACAGTAACGGTAGGAGGTGTCTGGCAGCAGCTCTGGCTATGTTTCATTTTTCTAAATGAGGTTTGCCTGTTAAAAGTAAATTATAGGAAGTTAGCTGAATTGATAGAGCATTGCCAAGTAACGAGTCTATTTTCTCTGTTTATGTTGGGTATCATTAGAAGCTCTAAATATGATAAAGTTTTAGCTCAATAAGTTCTCCTGGAGATTCCCCCCCACACACACTATTTTCATATTATTGCCCGTATGATGTACTGTGCAACAGTGCTGTACAGTCATTAGAACACCTTTTGCAAGAACTTATTCTAAACAGCTTTAAATGTATTCACTTACATTAACTGTATGAATCATGTCCACATAATGTTACTCATGTGTTTAAGTAGTTATTCATTCGGGACAGCCTCCCAAAAAGGTCAGGGGGGTTTCTACCCTCCTGGCTTTCTTCGAAGCTGTAAAACAGAATTATTCCTGAGAGTTTTCGAGGTAGCCTATGCAAAGAGGGGAATGCCTTACTGGTAGAGCAGCAAAGTGTTTGTGGATTGGGGTTTTTTAATGTATTTTTATATGTGTTTTAAACCCTATTGTTTTATCAGATTGTTTCTACATTGTTGTTACCCACCTTGAGTCCCGAAATGCTTGGTAGAAAACTGCATATATGTTTTCAATAAATAAATAAAATGGTAAATTCTGCAGATGTTGTCCTTTGCAAGCTGGTGATCTGTTTCCAGATTGCAGCTAATTCCTTGTTCTTAAATGTTTGTGCAAGTAATGTGGCCACGGCAAGAATGACGAAGGTATAGAAAGTTTGTCCAAGACAGCAAAATCTATTTTGATTTTTATCATGCACAATGCTTCTCATACACATGATTTTAGTGCAGCTGCTTAGGTTGATGAATGTGCAGTGGAGGCTAGAGCTGGGGATATGGGGGTTTAATACAACGCTACATAGAATGTTCAGTATGTCCTACAAACTTTGGATTGGATCCAGACGAAAGTGGCAGTTTCCAGGGTCTCCGCTTTCTTGCTGCAGCCCCCCCTCATGTCATTCCGCAGGGCCCCCAATCCTCCAGGAGCAGCGTTCCATGAAGATCAGTGGGTTACAGGGGGAGAGGGGGAGGAAGGAGAGTTGTACATTCTGTCCCTGGAAAATTTAGTTTGGATCCAACCCATTAGAAGTACAATATTAATTTCAGAATAAATTTAGAATTTAAAGCACTTCTAGTCACCTGAATATTGCCTGTATAAAGGTGTGAAAAAACTAATCATGAAGGACATTCAATAAATTGTATCACTGATAGGTATAGTGAACTTATGCATCCTAAAAAGTGGCATCATTTAAAGCCTGTAAACACATTATTATTTTTCCTGCCTTCCAATCCCTCCCCCTTAATTTCTGGCAATGGGTGAAAATAGGAGGGTTTACCTTAGTGCCTGCATTCAGTTGAGGTCACATCATGGTAGCCCAATTATCCTGTCCCTTGTACACACAGAAATACACTTTACTGTAACAAAATTGAGCACTTCCAATTAGAGTGAAGGAAGGATCTTTTACTCCTTGACAGGGCTTTTTTTGTAGAAAAAGCCCAGCAGGAACTCATTAGCATAATAGACCACACCCAACAGCAGAAACTCATTAGCATATTAGGCCACACCCATGACAATACAGCTCATTAGCATATTAGGCCACACACTCCATGTTACCAGAAGTGTGGTCATCCAACCACACCCACCTTTTGCTTCTTATTCTGTTTACCTTGTTTGTTGTCAAAACCCAGGGCTTTTTTGTAGCAGGAACTCCTTTGCATGTTAGGCCACACACCCCTAATGTAGCCAATCCTAATGAGGTCCTGCTGTTGGGTGTGGCCTATTATGCTAATGAGTTCCTGCTGGGTGTGGCCAACTCGGCAGCCAGCTGGAACTCCGTTCCTGTGCGTTCCTGCCCAAAAATAGCCCTGCTCCTTGGAATTTAGACCCAGTGCAGGAGACTTAGGGAAAATCCTTTCCCCCTCCCTTTTAGGGTTGTGCTTGTGTGTGTTTGCCTCATTATTTATACCACAGGTCCCATATCCTGCTGTTGTGACCCTTTTCCTTTGTTTCCATACAATAAAGTGAGTCTGATAAATACTGAACGATGCTGAACAAATGGCTGAATTTCTTTTGCTATACTTAGGGGACATTCAAATACTATTTTTCTTAAATTGGGGAGATGAGCTAGATCGTTAAAGCAAGCCAACTAAAGTCTAAGTAATTTTTAATAAGAGACCTGCACCTATTGTATGTAGCACTGCACATTTCCAGTATGTAATCATAAGAACAGCTGTGCAGTTTATAAAATCTCTCTTTCCATAGACCCACATACTTTAAGCAACCTTTTGAAGCCATCCTGAGCTTTTTCGTTTTGCTTAAAAAGCTCTACCTATGTGCAAACATTTTTTTAATGAATGCATGTAAATTAATTAACACTTACAAATGAGCCTGGCTGTAAATGGAAAATAATACCAGGGACACCTGACTGCGTAGATTGTATAAAAGAAGATCCTCATATAAAAGCAAACTCCCTAATGGAGAGACCTGTACCTTTCCATCACAAGATTTATCCTTCTCTCAGAGATCTACTAATTATATGCCAACAGAATTGAGAACTGTGTAAGCAGCAGGAGAAAATGATAGTGGTTATTACTTGTTTCTATCATCTGCCTCTCCATATTTGATTGTTTCAGAGGGCAGCTGTTTTGCCTTAGGGGACATCCAGTGGAGAGGGGGAAGGTATTGGAAGTGCAATGCATGCAATAAAAGTGCCATGATAAACGAAGAGAAAGGAATGTATCCTCTATTTTACGAATCAGAGCGATAGGAATTTTCTCATCCATCCAGTTTTGAGGAGAGCATCACCACACTCATTCAAAATGACAATTGGCTGGCTGCCAGTTTTAGTCCATTTTAAAATGGCTGCTTGGAGTGTGGGGTGGGGGAAGAGCAGAGATGGTGGCCATGGCTGATTCCACTTTTTTTTTAAAGTACATGTTTACAAGGCAATAGAATCTGTTAGTATGTGGTCTTCATTACTTAAGTGGTCCTCTGTGGATGAGTTAGCTTCTTGCTTGAGTGCAGAGATGTGGCTTAAGGAGATCTGGATTTCATTTCAAAAAATACCCACCTTCAGCGAGGGGGTGGAGACAGCCATTTCCCCCCATATCCCATCCTTATTTAAATATATTAATGCCATTCGTAAGAAGTAGGATTGAACTTCAGAATTCCCTGGGGGTAAGAATGAGGGTGTGTGAAGGAGAGTTTATCATTGCCCACTTCATGCTGTGTTTGAAGAAGAAAAGGAACAGAAAACACTGATGGTGCCACAAAAACAAGTACTGAAATAGTTACCTCTTCCTTACTGAACTGAACAGGCTTGCCCTAGACCAAGGGTATGTGTGGCCCATTTAGGCCTGTGCTTTCAAAAAAATCTACCATGAAAATATGTGGGCAAAAACTTAATAAAGGGTGGCATCATGTGACACCTGGCTATGAGATCAGCCATAAAAAAAATGTTGGGAATTTCATCCCAGTAACAGTTACCTCAATTTATGTAATCTAAAGAAGGAAAGGAAAACAGGCGGGATCTCAGCCTCGTTCCACCAATCAAAAATCTCCTCAGACTAACCTCTTCCAGTACAGAACTGAATTCAACATCAATCAGGCTAAGAAGCCACTCCCACTTCTCTACTGTCCAATCAGGACACAGGTGTAACAAGTCTTAGCCAATTAAAACACAACAGGGCTCATCAAAATACTTTCACAACCAACGAATGCCTGGAAGCACAGAGCAGCTTGATTTCTCTTAGGCTGAGGAGAATCACCCAATCAGGAAAAAGTGGGCATTCTTGCTGTGAGGGGTGACCCCGTAGAAAGCTCTCTTGAAGCCTTTGGAGACTGAGGGAACAGAATAGTTTCCCTATCACTCAGATGAGGAAATAACATCCTCCTGATCTGTGCCTGTGTTTTTTACACAAACGCACAGGACAGGGAGAAAGGAGTACAGAGGAAATTTATAAGAGCTTGTGCAGCAATCTAAGCAGCTGGGGAAGAGAAATTACAACAGAAAATGGAGGAGAAACCATTCAAGCAACCAACTGCCTGTTTTCTCTTCTTGGGAAGATCATCCCCTTCTAAAGCTATTTTTTTCCTTTAGAAAAGCTTGGCATCAGTGTTTTTGTATACACATTTGCACATAATGGTGATTTCAAGCATTGCATACTAATTGGTAAAACTCAACACACAAACAAAATCTATGAATTGTATGTAATTTGTTGGACACCAGGGGGCACTGGAAGATAAACCAAGGGCCTTCCCAGCCTTTATATTTAGCTGCACCACCACCGCAAAATGAAATGCAACAGTAAAACCAGCTCCACCATGAAAGCAATGTGCAGACAATACAGTAACGTGGATCAGTAGTGGCAAGAACCAACAAAATAACGGCATCAAAAGCAATCCGTCATGTTCTGTGTATCCCAGTCAAATGGATCTTCTGGATCTCATAGTAATAGTGCAAACAGAAGGAATGGTTTTGTGTATCATCCAGGATTGCCAACTCTAGCTTGGAAAATTCTGGGAGATATGGGGGTGGAGCCTGGGGAGAGCAGGGTTTAGGGGAGGGATGGGACTTCAGTGTGGCATAAAATCAGGGCTCTTTTTGTAGAAAAAGCCCATGGAGAACTCATTAGCATATTAGGACACACCCCT